CGCAGGACCTGCGCCTGTGGGCTATGCCAGTCCTTGATGGTTTTCTCGGTCTACCTCCACACCAGCATTGGCGTAACAGGGGACAATGTTGAGTTATTGAACACTCTCGGCGAGTACATCAAGTCCCTCACTTGCCTCTGGATTGTGCAAGGTGATTGGAACCTTACTCCTGAAGAGCTTGAAGCATCGGAATGGGTGTCCAAGGTTGGGGGCTGTATGTTTACGACGGGCCACGCTACGCGTAGAGCAGGACCCGCTCCAGTAACCAGTTCGGGGCCAGAGGAGGAGGTCGACAGGAAGGATGAGCGGGAGATCGATTTCTTCGTGGGGTCCAGGTGTTTAGGGCACTGCGTCAAGGATGTCCTGGCGTTCCCAGCAGCCCCTTCGTGGCCTCATATGCCTGTGGGTATCGTCGTCAAGAACCTGGCCCCGTCGACGGTCGTCCCGAAGCAGGTTAGATATATGCAGTTCCCCCTGGACAAGCTCGTGGGTCCTCGGGGGCTCCCTACGGAAAGCACGTGGTCTTGGGAAGTCGGAGGTGGCTCGCACTGTTTGGGGTCCATGGTCAGGGAATGGCTTACCCAGGCTGAGGGCTGGCTCACGCAGTTCCACGACCTAGACAGTGCTAGCGCTGCCAGGATGTGTGGAAGAGCTGGGGGCCCTAAGGTCATAAAGATTCCCCTCGAGACGGTTTGGGACCGAGAGTCTAGGAGGAGATATTCAAAACGGACCACCAGTTGGATGTCCTTCGAGGCGTTGGCTCGTCGTGCAGCTGCAGTTGGCCAAGATATGCTAGGAGCCAGAGCACGCGGTCTTTTTCACGAATGGTGTGCCGCCCTGTTCGGGATGATCTCGGCGCTGGAGGCGCCAGACGAAGGCGCGAATGCCCGCTTTTTGATCAGCCTAGTAGAAGGGATATCCATGGGGCTCAGAGAGGAGTTAGAAGGGCTGTTCGGGCAGTTACGCGAGTATGTAGAAGGCCTGCGCAAGTCGGACGCCAAGGAGTCCCTGTCGGAGTGGAAGGAGTGGGCAAAGTCGTCAGTGCAGCGGGGAGGGAAGGCAGCTCATGCTTATTCCAGGGTCTCTCGCGCAGACAGGACGGTCCCGTTCAGTGTCGTAGACGACCAAGGCCGCTTGCCAGTCAACGGTGAGCTTGCGCTCCTCCAGCTTCTCGATCAATGGCTTCCCCTCTGGCGCAAAGAAGGCAGGCTCAGCAAAAACCACCCAGCTCATTGGGATGTGTTGGGACATGAATTGCCACCTATATCTTTGGAGCAGTTGAGGCGTGTGTGTAACTCGTATGGGGAAGGGGCTGGTCTTGGGTGGGACTCCTTCCACCCCCGCCAGATCTTGTTTCTTCCAGAGGAATATCAATTGCGTGTTATCGACATCCTTCACTCGTTCGAAGATCGACCTTGTGTGATTGCAGAGTTTTTGACGAATATCATCTTCCTTGACAAGCCAGATGGTGGAGTACGCCCGATAGGATTATTGTGCATGTTCACCAAGATTTGGTCGAAGTGTCGTCAACACATCTGCCGTACCTGGGAACGGGCCCACGAGCAGGCCTTCTTCTGGGGCGCCGGGGCCACGTCGACCTGCGAGAGAGCAGGATGGGTCCATAACATGCTGGCCCACTTCGGGAAAGTCCTAGGGACCTCGGCGGCGACGGTGCTTCTGGACCTTAAGAAGTTCTATGAGCACATCGACCATATGGATCTGTATCGAGCGGCGTGCCAGCATGGTTTCAATTTGAAGCTTCTGCGAGGGCTGTGCGTGATTTATGCTGGGGATAGGATGCTGCACTATGGAGGGGCGGTATCGAGGAAGGTGCAAGGTAATGGGGCAGTGATTGCAGGGTGCTCAGCAGCTACCACGCTTACGAAGCTACTTTTGTTATCGCCGCTCGCGGCCGCGCAGTCTGGCCGGCCACAGTTGTGCATCAGAAACGTGATAGACGACATCGCGCTGCAGATTGTTGGTCCGCAGCAGCTCATTGCGCCGCAGCTCGCCTCAGGAGTGCAGTCCCTGTTGTCCAGTTTCTCGGAGCTCGAGCTCCCCGTCTCGGAAAAGTCGAAGTGCATGACAAGCGACTCGGATTTGAATGAGGCCTTGCAGCCCCTGTGGGACCTCCCGAAGGAAAGCAAGGTGGATCATGCAAGGAACCTCGGCACCGACGCGGTGATGGGGCCCCTACGGAGGGTTCAGATCACTCGGGATAGGTGGGACAAGGCCAGAGGGAGGACGGCTAAGATTAAGAAGCTCAGGGAGGCGGGGGCCAACACGGGGTTCATTCAACGTGGAGGCCCTACAGCGTCGGCTCTATGGGGGCCCAGCATCATGGGGATTCCCTCGGCCCAACTGCATCGTCTTCGATTGGGAGCTGCTGGAAGTCTCGGGAAGGTCCCCAAGGGCTCCACGGTCGGGCTCCGTCTCCAGAGCTATGCTGAAGGGGTCCGAGTGGACCCGCTGCTGTTGAACGTCGGGATGGTTGTGTTCCAATGGGCGACAGCGGTCTGGGAGTCGTTTCCGAAGCTTCCTGTCCTGGAACGGTGTCTGGAAGGAGCCCTGGGCCGCCTAGAAGGAGTTCAAACACCTTGGAGGTTAGCAGCAGCCCCAGCTGAAGTAGCCGTTCGCAGTCTTCGCAGAATAGGCTGGAGTTTGCGGTCAGGTGCGTGCATGGTCACGGATCGGCAGGAAGCACTAGACCTTCGAGTTTTACCTCCAGCGCTCGTTCAGGAGCTAGCAGTTGCAGGCGCCAGGCGAGCTTCTGATCGGCAAGCTCTTTTTTGTCGTGGGCCCAAAGCCAGGTGGAATATGCCGATAGTTTGGGCAGGACTTGAGGGGCTCCTGCATCGGACCAAGGGGTCCTGGACGAAGAGGTTTCAGAGGACGTTGAGATCCTTGGTTTCTGGGGGACACTGGCCACAAAGTCGGCTCCACCACCGCGGACTTGTCGGCTCAGCGAGGTGTTGTGTATGTGATGATCCTGAAGGGTCCTTGTGGCACAGGGCCTACGAGTGCCCGAAGTATGCAGGGCTCAGGCGCGAATGGGTTGACGACTTCCACAGGACGAGGGCTCGCAGGGTCCGCGAATGGGGGTACGACGAGGGGGAGAGGTTTGCGAGAGGCCTGTTCCCGTCGCCAGAGTTGGTCTTCCCCGTCCCGACCGAGGCCCAAGAGACCATCTTGTGGCACAACAGACCTGAGTCAGGGCTCCTGAGTGGCACGCTGTTCTTAGACGGTTCGGCCTTATGGGCCTCTGCTCCGTTTTTGGCCCGAGCGGGCTGGGCCATCGTGCAGGTAGATAGGTTTGGAAATTTAGTTTCGGCGGCCTACGGGCCCGCCCCATGCAGTGTGTGCCCATAAGCAGAGCTCTAGAGACGCGGAGGATTACGCCGTCTCGATGCTGCGTGTATGTGCTATGGCGCCCTTCGATGTCTTTATAGACTGTGCAGGCACTGTTGGGACTCTCCGTGGCGGCGAAGGCGCGGGATCCCAAAGCAGTTGTGGTCGGGCCCAGCTCTGGAGTCCGTTCTGGGGAGCGTTCTCGGAAGGGGACTTCCAAGTTTTTAAAACCAAGGCCCATTGCACCAGGGCCCAGGTAGATGCGGGTGCTACCACTGAGTGGGAGTTCAGAGGGAACGCCCACGCCGACAGGTTTGCGAAGCTAGGTGCTGCGGAGCACGGCGTGGGTGAGGAGCAGTTTCAGTTGTGGCAAGGCTTTAAGTTTTTAGCCCAAGAATCCGCCCGATGGGCGGCTTGTGTGCACGTTGAGTCCGATGGCCAGGACCACGATGACTTGATGGAAGCGTACTGGAGGTCTCGGGGCTCAGCTGCCGCGGAAGACCCTGAGACCCCAGTGGACCCCGGGCCTGTGCCCCAGGCTTGCAGCAGTGGTGGGGAAGTGGGGTCGTCGTCGCTCGGTGGCTACGGGGTGGGCGACGGGCGGGAGGAGTATGCCGACGCCAGTTTTTGGTGGCGAAGCCACAACCTGCTGGAGGCAGACGTGCTCAGCCGCACCGCCCGCGTTTCCTCGGTCGTCTTCTGCTGCCGCTGTGGCACCGTATCCTCGGACGGCAAGCTAACTACGGGTCTCTCGGGGTGGTGTCCCGAGAAGGCCAAAGCTGGTGGTGTGGACCAGCTGCGTAGGATCAAGAAAGGAGAATTCCCCTCTTACCGCGCCAATGTGCGCTCTTTGAAGGTCGGGAGGCCGCACGGAGTGCTGCCAGCGACCCGCTCGAGCCTAGCCGAGGCCGAGCCGAGCCTGCCCCCAGAGCCACAGCCCTCGGCCCCAAGCGTCGGGGCTAGTGGCGGATGGGGGCGGGCTGATCTTGGGGGGCGGGCCGAGGTTCTGAGGGCGTTTGGGCTGTGGGAGGGGGAGCTCGAACTGGTCCGCGACCTCGGCCGATCGGCCCTGCAGCGGAGCGCGGACAGCCCTGAGGAGGGCGACTCCGACGCCGAGCCATTCTGATTTGGGGCTTGACCCCGCGTTTAGCGCAAACCCATACCATACCATACCTCCTCCTCCTCCTCCTCCTCCTTGTTTTCCCCTTCGTATTTATCAGCCTCGTCATCCTCGTTCCCCTCCCTGGTTACACCCGTTTTCATATGCCTCCTCCGTCCTATTCATCCTCCACCTCCACCGCCTCCTTCTTATCTTCCAGCTCCTCCTCCGCCTCTTTGTGTTCTCTCTCCTCCACCTCGTCCCCCCCCCTCCCCCTCCCCGCCGTCCGGGGCGTCCTACTCGTCGTCTTCCTGCTCGCCGCCTCATTGCCGCAGTCCTCCTCTCCCCCGTTCCCCTTTCTTCCGTTATTGGGATGGAGGAGGCGCGGAAAAACCGGCACTGCCCCTGCGCAAGGATAACACGTACACATCCAGAATTGTATACAATTCTGTATTTGGGGGAAGGAACACAGGGGGGAATTTCCAGAAAACGGCGCAGGACAAATGTGGAGAGAGGGCAATCTCGCGGCCATGAAATCGCTGGGCCGGCGCAGGTGGAGGACGTGTACTCCAGGAGCATGAAGTCGAACAAGGGGGTGCTCACCCGTTCAGACTTCGACCTCTTCGTCAAGAACTTCCAGAAGACCATCGGCCAGGATGCGCCTGGCCTTCCCTCTTCCTCCTCGTCCTCCTGGTTTTCCTCTTCCTCCTCGTCCTCCTCGTCCTCTTCCTCCTCGTCCTCCTCTCGAAGAAGAACGAACGCTATGAACATAAACGTTCGACGCCCCGCACGGGTTTCTTGGATCGGCGCGTGGGCCCCTTGGCGGCGCCTCCGGCGCCGCCCCTGGCGCGCGGAGCGCGCCAGGTAGGGGGGTCAGGCGCAGATCTGCGACATCCTCGCGGAGCGACAACAGTTTATGTTTGTAGTTTTTCTTTTTGTTCTTTGCTCGCCATGTCGTCCGCAGAAGCCCCCATAGCCCCTCTGGGCCACTCGGCAATTACGGTGCCCCCCTACCAGACTGCAGCGCTGGAGCGCGCTTGGGAAGAACATGCAGCGAGCGCTGGGCACAAGGAGTCCAGAGTTGGACCCCTGACGGGCGCAGGTGCCGAGGACGCCCAGCGGCGAGATGGGCCGGGCACGCCCCCCCCCCCGCTGCGTGCGCGATTGTAAAAGTCGGATGTCGGGCCTGACCTTCTACAGGAGGGATGTCCAAAAATAGTCAAACAAATAGCATGGGGATGTTTTCTCGAGTTTTCCAGATTTTGTTGTTTGCTGTTTTTTTTTTATTCTTGAAATTTCATTATTCCAGAATCCGCCTGTAGGACGACACGCCCGACCTACAGTGGGGGCCCGCATCAAGAAACCATATGCTTTTCGTCAGGGTACCCTGGGGTTCTTCGCTCCGCGCGCGGCGCGGCGACTTCCCGCGGCCGCTGAAGGAGCCGCTGCGTTCAGGGCGCTCCGGGTTTCCCCTCAGGCGCATTTCGCGCGCGGGTTCTCAGGGCTGGGTTTCTTGCGGCCGCGCCCGCACTGTAGGAGGACATGCCCGACCTAATCAAAGTCTGGGAGGCCTGACCCTCTACAGGAGGGGTATTCAAAAATAGTCCATCAAATCGTATAGGGACGGTAGTTTTCGAGTTTTCCTGGAACCTTGTTTGATTGTTTCGACTCTTGAAGATTTCTTTCTTCCAGAATCCGCCTGTAGGAGGACATGCCCGACCTAACGAAAGTTTGGGAAGGGCGTCCATGACATCATCGTAACGACCACCACCAACACCACCCTCACCATCACCATCAACAACAATAACAACAAACAACGATTACAACAACAACTATAACAACAACAACAACAACAACAACAACCAACACCACCCTCATCATCACCAGCAACAACAATAACAACAACAACAATCATTTTAATCTTGTTCGCCCGTATCTGCTCGAGTGTCCAATAACGCGTATTTCCCAAACCCTCGATACCCGCCCTCTTCGTCTTCGATCGAACCCCTTTTGGGGGGTATACCTTTCTTCCCTGCAGGCCGGGCCCCGGCAAGCGGCGGGGCGGCCGCGGACCGTCGGCCTGGCCAGCGGCAGCGCTGATCGGCGGGGCGGCCGCGGACCGTCGACTCGACCCCAAGAGGGACGGACAGGGGACCGACGACGACGACGACGACGACGTCGACGACGACGGCAACGACGGCGACGGCGACGACGACGACGAGCGAAAGCGAGAGCGAGAGAGAACGACAGCAGAGCCACGAAGGACACGAAGTAGGCCACGAAGGGCGACAGCGGGGACACGAAGGGAATGCGTATGGGGCCACGAAGAGCGCGAACGAGCGTGGGCCACGAAGGGCAGATAATGCGGGGCCACAGAAGGCAACGATGGGGCCACTGAGGGTAGCACCTGGGCCACGTAAGACAATGAGGGCGCCACAAATGGCGACAGCGGGGCCACGAAGGGCGTGCACATGGGGCCACAACGGGCGCGAACGAGCGGGGGCCACGAAGGGCATACGTATGTTGGGCCGCGGAGGGTACGGACGGGGCCACTGAGGGCAGCAACGGGGACAAAAAGGGCAGCGAGGGGGCCACGAAGGGCGACAGCGGGGCCACGAAGGGCATGCATATGGGGCCACCACGGGCGCGAACGAGCGGGGGCCACGAAGGGCATGCATATATGGGCCCACGAAACAAAGCGAGGGGGCCACGAAGGGCTGCAACGGGGCCACGAAGGGCAGCGAGGGGGCCACGACGGGCTGCAACGGGGCCACGAAGGGCTGCAACGGGGCCACGAAGGGTTGCAACGGGGGCCACGAAGGGCATGCATATATGGGCCCACGAAACAAAGCGAGGGGGCCACGAAGGGCTGCAACGGGGCCACGAAGGGCAACGAGGAGGCCACGAGGGGCTGCAACGGGGCCACGAAACAGCGCGAGGGGGCCACGAAAGGCTGCAACGGGGCCACGAAACAAAGCGAGGGGGCCACGAAGGGCTGCAATGGGGCCGCGACGGGCAGCGAGATCCCCATTCCTAGGTAAACGGTGAAGGAGTCCTAAGCGTGAGCGCAACTCCTGGGTGCCTGGGTGTCGGGAGCGCGGCGCTGGAGCAAATTGTAAGAAATTCCAACGCAAGGGCGCTATTCTTTAGTAAATTGCAAGCAAATCTCCAGCGAGAGCGCGACTCCAGAGCGCAGGAGGAGCGATCCCATAATGAATCGGAAGGAAGTCCCAAGCGAGAGCGCGATTCTTGAATAAAATGCGAGGAAGTCTCGGGCGGGAGCGGGGGTCCTGGCTAAATTGTGAGGAAGTATCAGGCGGGAGCCGTTGTTGTTGTAACCCGGGGGCCAGGGGGCCAGTTTGAGCAGGAAAACTTTCCTTGACAAAAAACAAGGTGCGAGCCCCGGGGGGGCACTTCGATGGAAAAAAACCTATGTGCACCAGTGGGGAGGGGATCAAAAATAATTGTTTTTCATGAGTGAGAGTTCAACAACAAAAACGATGACACCAAGAACAACAACCACAACAATTGCAACAACAACAACAACAACAACAACATCAACAACAGCAACAACAACGACAACAAACTCTTCCCGCCAGGCCGCGCGGGTCCTCCGGCCTGCCGCGCCCCGCAGCACGCACGGGGGCGGCTCGGGGCCTTTTGGTCGGGCGCCGCGCGGGGCGGTGCCGCGCCCGAGCGCCGCCCGGGTGCCGGAGACGACGCTCGGGCGCGCTGCCGCCGAGGAGCGATCGCGCTGTGTTGATGCGTCGGCTTCGCATGCTAAGACCAAGCATTTTCTTTGGGTGGAGGGCAATGGGTGAAATCTGAAATGCTGTTCCGATGGGTTTTCGAGGCTCGAATCAACAAAAGGTGAGTCACAAGACGGATTGATCTTCGAGGTGCAAAAGCCCATATGGATTTCACCCTCAGCTCTGCACCCTAAGAGAATTGTCAGCAAGAGCACAGCTCGAACATTCGACAGCTCTAACATTCGTGCTGGTGCATAGGCCGTGTGCCTCGAGCATCCGACAGCTCCGACATCTTGTCGTGGCAGGCCTGCCGGAATGCCCCTGGGCGGCCAGTCCCTGCCCCGGGCAGGGTCGAGGCCGCGCTGGTGCGCCGGGGATCCCGGCGCGGGTGCCCCGGGCCGGTCGCCGCCGCCAGCTGCCCGGAGGCGGCCGACATCGAACGACTCGGCTATACGCAAGAGTGACCCTGGGTAAGAGTGATTTTTGGTGCGCGGCTTTTTCGGGGCCGCGGGGGGACCAAACCTGGGCGCGCACAGCCGCTTCGTTTCCAGCCATCTGGGGACCCACCTGTGCCCGCACCAGAAGGTCGCTCCTGCGGAAGGTCACTCTGACGTCTGGTCGAACGACGGGCGCCATCGGCAAGCCGCGATCGTTCCACGCCGGAGGACCCGCGCGGTGCCGGCAGGTGGCGCGGGCACGTCGTCGCGGCGCGGGCCTGCCGTGGCGGAGTTCGACCTCCTCCTCCTCCTCCTCCTCCTCCTCCTCCTGTTCCTTCCCCCCCCCCTCCTCCTCCTCCTCCTCCTCCTCCTCCTCTCCTCCTCCTCCTCCTCCTCCTCCTCCTCCTCCTCCTCCTCCTCCCCCTTTTTTATTTTTTCCTGGAGGGAAAGAAAGCGATGATTATAATCACACGACCAAGTCTGAACGGGGAAACGTCGGTGGCGATCTTGGTCATCGTCCGTCTTGGTCATCGTCAATTCGCGGGTCATCCTCGCGAGTCGGCGACGGCCGGCATGGACCACGACCAAGCTTGGCGTCGACAAGATCCCACGATATCTCGGTCATGGTTGGGCGGCGGGCCCAGGGGGAAAGTGAGAATGAGCGGGCCGCCTCAGAAGGCCCAGAAGTCCCCAAGCCTTCTGAGAGGTTGGCTAAGCCTTCCCAAGAGACAGAACATGTCTCAGCAGGTGTGAGGGCTTCTGCGAAGCCCCGCCGCCTTCTGAAGAGGGCTTTCTAATTCTCACTTCCCCCCCCCTCGCTCGCCGCCGAGTGGAAATCGTGTTTGTTCTCTCGATCCCATTCGTTCCGGCAGGACGCTCTGGCTCACGTCTGGAGCATCATGGGCCAGCACGCCAGCACCTCGGTGCTGCCGTTCGAGTCTTTCTGCAGGCTTTCGTTGCGCAGGGGGAGCAGAAGGGGGAAGGGACAGTAGTTTGACGAGTATGAGCTGGCTGGACTTAAGTTTCAGTTTCACGACCACGTGAATCGGAGGAGGAGGAGGAGCAGCAACAGAAGGAGTAGGAGGAGATACCGAGATCGCTACCCTGCCCTCGTCACCACGGCTGGATTCGCCTCAAAAATCTTCTTGGCCAGCACGCGCCCCAGGAGAGGTCCGTGGCGTCGCGGTATGGATGTTTTTTTCTTTCTTTTTTACTTCCCGTTAATACAGGGCGATTTCGAGGTGGAGTGGAGAGGTCTAGATGCGACCACGAATCTTCTTCTGGGGGCTCGCGGGAGCAGCCTGATCCAGGCTTGCAAGAAAAATGATGGAGAAGAGGGAGGAGGACAAGGTCGACGACGAAGAGAGACGAGGTGGAGGAGCAGGAACAGGGGAGGAGGGAGGGAGGGGGAGGGCGAGGGGGGGGAGGAGCAGGAGGAAGAGGAGGAGGAGGAGAGGACGAGGAGGAGGAGGAATGGATGAGGGAGGAGCAGCTTGGAGCAGAGGAGGAAAACGAAGAGGGGAAGAAGCGCTCCCGTTGAAGCCTTTCTGAAGGCAATTCTGCCCAGACTCGCTGGACAGGGCTGCGCCGCAGCTGGCAAACGGCAAGGAGCTGCTCGGTTATTTGCACCGCCTGTGGCGGTGGCTGCAGGATCGTGGCAGCACGGTCCACACCACATTCGCGCCCTTCGACACTGGCGGAAGAGGCGCGCTCTTCTTCGACGACTTCCTCCGGGCCTGCAAGGACTCCAGGATCACGCTGGCGCGGGTAGAGGTCGAGAGGATCTTCTTCCGCCTGTCCCCGGACGGGGGGCAGGTCGCCTTGGAGCGCCTCGCTGCCGCCGTGCAGGATTAGGGTTCAGTCGGGCCTGTCCCTCTACAGGAGGCGTGTTCAAAAATAGTCGAAAAATAGTCACGGGACGAGTTCTCGACCATTTGTAGAATCTGTTTGCGAGCATACTTCGAGTATGTTTCAAGCGTTTTCCTCCGAAATCCGCGTGTACGGGGACACGCCCGACCTAAGAGTAGGGGCGCAAATAGTGGCATGAACGCAGACACTGGGAGGCCCGCGCGGATTTCTCACATCCGCGCTGCACCCCCTTCCTTGGCGCGCGGACCGCGCCAGGGGCGGTGCCGGAGGCGCCGCCGGGGAGCCCCAGCGCAGATCCGAGGAGTCCGCGCGGACCTCCCAGCAGTTGTGGTCATTCCCTGGCTTCGTCGGGCTTCGTCGGGCGGAGGGAGGCTGGGTTGCTACGCTCGGGGCGCGCCGGCGCGAGGAGGGAGTTTTCTCCGCCGTCGGATGCCGAGTCCGTGGATTCGAGCTTTGAAGAGAGAGCCTCTGAGGCGTCATTCTTGTTTTCTGGCCGTGTGCGGCCCCTGCGAGGCGCACTGGTTCATCAGTGCTTGTTGGAAGTCGGGCCTGCCCCTCTCCAGGAGGAAGATTCAAGAGTCGTCAAAAATTGTGTGGGGACGATATTCCTAGTTTGTTGTTTTGGACTATTTTGGAGTATTTGTTGACGATTTTCCACTTTTCGTCCAACATCCGTCTGTAGGAGGACCTGCCCGACCTAATGCCTGTTCCCCGGAGGAGGCGGCCAGCGTTCCGGAGGCGGCCTGGGCTCGGGAGCAGGTCGTCGGCATCAACGCCCGGGCGGCGCAGGGCGGCCAGCTGCTGGAGGCCGCCTTCGCGCAGAAGCGCAAGGATCTCAATGGGACGCCAAGCATTTTGCCTTAAGTTGGGCATGTCCCTCTACAGGAGGGATATGCAGAAATAGCCAAAAGATCGGTTGGGGACGATTTTTCGAGCACTTTTGACTATTTTTGAACGTTTTGTGACATTTTCTTTTTTCGCCCAAAATCCGCCTTTAGGGGGACATGCCCGACCTAACGTTTGTCGTGCAGGACGGCGATTCAGAACAAGAAGCACGGGGGTGGGGCTCAGGAGAGGGAAAGGTGTACGCCTGCTTGTACCCTCCCTCGCTTTCCCCTCCGTGGGCCTCCAGGGAGGCCCTCGTCGCCACCGCTGGATTCGCTTCGAACTTCGGGTCAGAACGCAGCCTGGGAGAGGTCCAGGGAGTAGCGGTATCGGTACCTTTTTGTCGATTGCGCGTACTGTGAGAGTGGTTTTTCGCCGGAGTGACCTTTGGTGCGGGCCCAATGGGGTCCCCTGATCGCCGAACGCGATGCGGTATGAGCGCCTTGCGCGCTCGTGGTTGTTCCCCCGGCGTCCCCCGTTCAACCGCGCACCAAAGGTCACTCTTGCCCGGGGCTACTCTTGCGTGCAGCCGATTCTGTTCCCCCAGGGACGATCCACAAACATTCGAGCGGCATGCGCACAAACTTTTGAAGCGTCGCGCGGATGCCTCGTGTCGGCGCCTGGGCCCCCTTGGCGGCGCCCCTGGCGGCGCCCCTGGCGCGCCAGGGAGGGGGGTCCAGCGCGCCTCCAAGCAATCCGCGCGGACCTCCGAAAGTTTGGGAAAAAAGCCATTGTTCAAAAGTCCTGTGAGGACGCGAAACCACGGATGAAGGCAACATGGGTTCGCGACGGGGTCCTGCTTCCATGGCGGAAGCGGCGCGCGCCGTCGCCGAAAGAAGGCGGCACCGGCCTCGCGTTTCGGGGGCTGCCTTCCCCGATCCGTGGATCCGTCGCCCGCGCGCCAGCTCCACTGATCCCTGATCCACGGGTGGTACGCGCCCGACTTCTGCCTCTCGGGTCAGGATGTTCCAGCCTGCCTCAGCTTTGACCACCAGCAGGAAGTTCGAGCACCAAGAAGGTACCGAAAGCGGTGGGTTTTCTCGTGTCGGGCCCCGGGAGGCCATATTTGATCGACATGGTTTCGATACTCTTCTGGGTGCTCAAAATGATGTTAGGGACTTGGTCCGTAAGCAAGATGGGAGCAACGTAACTCTCACGATGATTTTGGAAAGGACGGTCAGAGAACTCCGACGGCCTGCGGCAGCAGGCAGGCCTTGAGAATCCAACCTTTTTCGCTATTCGCCCTGGGCGCTGCTGCGCGACGAGCGGCCCCACCCCCAGGGGCATTGCTGAAGCGTCATGCTACGTGGCCGATGCTCCGGCTCGAGCCGCCGATTCTCGAAGCCAGAAGTCGTTGGGGCATAGTCGGGACCCAGAGATCCGACGTTCCAACCAAAATATTTGAGCAGGCGTTTTTGTTTTGTTCCCCCTTTTTCGGCCTCAGGGGGCCCTCACCGGGCCTCGGGAGCGTCAAACAGTTATTCAGGAGGAAGAGCCGGCCCTAGGGAAGTGGTCCGGACCTCCGGGGCCCACGCATCGAAAACATTGAAGCAGCCAGATGCCTGAAGAGACGGGCACAGTCAGCAGAACTGCGCAGCAACGGCTGGAGGCCTCTTTGATGCCACCGTGCCTGGCCACGATCGTTGTGGATGTAAGATTAAGTCGGGCCTGTCCCTCTACAGGGGGAACGTTCAAAAATAGTAAAAAAATAGCCTGCGGATTATTTTTGGGGCATTTTTCTACCATTTTGGGGCATTTGTTGGGTATTTTTTCCGTGTAAAATTCCCCTGTAGGGGGGCAGGCCCGACTTACGTGTAAGATCGGGGCCCTTCCGAAGGAGGCGATCGCCCTGGGCGACGTGCAGGCGGAGTTCGTGAAGCACCTCACCATCGACCAAGAGCAGTGGGCCATGCTGGCGTCCTTCATCGACAAGCAGTCCGACGGCCAGGTCCTCCCCCTCCACCTGCCCCTTCTCATCATCATAGTTGTCACCATCATCATTACCACCATCGTCATCATCTCGGCATCTTGTCATCATGGACATCGTCATCGTCGTCACCATCATCACCACCAACATCACCACCATCACTATCATCAAACCATCATCATGGTCGTCATCACCATCACCATCTTCACCATCTTGACCATCACCATCAGCATCAGCATCATCATCAGTATCATCATCAGCATCAGCATCATCATCACTTGCATCATCGTCATCGTCATCACCATCATCATCATCATTGCCACCATCATCAGCTTTATCATCATCATCATCATCATCATCATAATCAGAATCAGCATCATCATCAGCATCACCATCATCAGCATCACCATCATCATCATCATCATCATCATCATCATCATCATCATCATCATCATTAGCATTCGCATTAGCATCAGCATCACCATCCGTAGCAATTTGTTGCTCAGGAGTTGTACGACCGAGGGTGTCTGGCCTGTGCCGTCTGCGGTTTGCCCTCCTTCGGAATCATCCATCAGCGATGCTCCGCACCGCCTGCATGAGCACCGGCCTCGCTGCGGCCTCGGCTTTCGTGGGCCCCGCGCCCAGCGGGGGCGTCGTGAGCAGCACCGCGACTGGTCAGCGCTTCCTGGCGCCCGAGGCGGCATCGCCCGAGCAGTCTGCTGGCCTCGGCGCCAGCGGCGTTCTCGCGGCGGCCGGCGCGTGCGCCGTCGCGGCCGGCGCTGCGGCGCGCGCCGAGCGCCGCCGCCCCCGTGCGCGGGCGGTCGTTGCCTGTCGCGCCGAGGGGCCCGACACCGAGGCCATCGCGAAGCAGGTTGCGGCCGGTGCCGCTGCCACGATGGTCGCCGTCAGCGCCGCGGCGGCGCCTGCGTCTGCCTACCCGATCTTCGCGCAGCAGAACTACCCGAACCCCCGGGAGGCAACCGGCAAGATCGCCTGCGCCAATTGCCACCTCCAGGGCAAGTACATCGAAGTCAAGATGCCCCACGAGGTCCTCCCCGACACGATCTTCAAGACCCTCATCGAGCTCCCTCTCAAATACGAGAAGAGGGTCCAGCCGATCGCCGACGGCTCCAAGGCCAGTCTGAACGCTGGCGCGATCGCGATCATGCCCGAGGGCTGGAAGCTGGCGCCGAAGGACCGGCTCCCCAAGGCGCTGAAGAAGCAGATGAAGGGGCTCGCCTGGTCGCCATACAGCAAGGACAAGCCCAACATCGTCGTCGCGGGGCCGGTGCCCGGGAAGATCTACGAGACGATGGTGCTCCCCATCCTCGCCCCTGACCCCAACAAGACCCCCGAGATCGTGTTCAACAAGTACGAGTTCTATTTCGGAGGCAACCGGGGGCGCGGGCAGGTCTACCCGGAGGGCAACCTCAGCAACGTCAACATGTACACCGCGGCGGCTGAGGGCACCGTGACCGAGATCGTCCAGGGCGAGAAGGTGGTCATCACGAAGGCGGACGGCACGGTGGTGGACTCGCTCATTGGCAAGGGGGCCACGGTCGTGGTCGAGGTCGGCGAGAGCGTGAAGAAGGACGAGCAGATCACCACCAACCCCAACGTGGGCGGCTTCGGGCAGGAAGACAAAGAGGTCACGATTCAGGACATGAACCGCGTGTACGCGTACTGCGGCCTCTCCATCTCGATCTTCTTGGCGCAGCTGGTGTTCGTGCTCAAGAAGAAGCAGTTCGAGAAGGTGCAGCTTGCAGAGGGCTTCTGAGCAGCATCCTCTTCAGGACGGTATGTGTTACCCCACCTCGTCCCTTTGGTTTGCTCCTGCTGCTCCCCTCCCCTTGTGCTTTACTTCCTCACGCATCGAGCGTGTTTTTTTTCGTGCGCGGCTGGAATTTCCGGCTTGGCCACTAGTTCATTGTATCGACCGGCGGCCCGTGGGCCGGCTGACCACGGTTGTCAACTGGTTGCTGGTTGCGCTGGTTGGGCTTCGAAGCGCTTGTAGTTGTCAGTGTGCCATGTGAGCCGCAGCTGCAGGGGGTGCCAATTGGTGGTGGCCGAGGTTGGTCCTCGCGCGTTCCTGGGCCTGTTTGGTGCAGCGTCTGGGCACTGTCTGACCGGCGGTTTTTTGTTCAGAGGAAAATCAGATCATCATCGTCATCATCATCATCATCATCACCATCATCCTCATCATGAATCGTCATCGTCATCGTCATCATCACCATCACCAGCACCTTCACCATCAGCATCATCATCAGCATTATCATCACCATCATCATCATCATCATCAGCATCATCATCGTCATCGTTATCATCATCACCATAATCACCACCATTACCATTACCATCACCATCATCATCACCATCACCATCACCATTACCGGCATTATCATCAGCGTCATCATCAGCATCAGCATTAGCATCATCATCATCATCATCATCATCATCATCACTGTCCTCATCATCTTCTCTATTGTCGTCGCTGCTGTAACCGTTACTACCATCCTTCGCCCGCCCGAGCCGTGGATTTGCATTTCAGAAGGTCCCCCTCGTCAGTGCGCAAGCTGGAAGTTGTCAGGAAGTTGCGGGTGGGAAGGCGGGACGTTCTCAAGTTTATCCTCTACAGGTTGCATCACATGGCGTGCGCATCGAACGTGTATGAATCTACTGTTTGGGGCTCACGCTGGCAAGCATTTGTTTGACACAAGTGTTTTCCTGCTGCCACTACTCGAGCTGGCACCAGCATCATTATGAACATGCTCACTGGGAACACGATAGCGCATTGTTTTGGGTCCACGTGCGGGCATCGTATCATCAATCGATGAACTTGTGTGCTCCTGTTGTCCATCAGGGCGGGCATAATTTGTCCGCTTAGTTTGGGTGTACCGGCCTATCCTCAAGGCCAGGGCCATCCCCAGCCTGTCCGGCAGGCAGTACACGCGTCCCTCAGGGTGTGAGTCTTCTATTCTCGCTGTATGATAACTGCCCGCTTTTCCGCTCCTCTCGCCCCTTCCCGTCGTCCTCCTCCTCGGCCTCGTCCTCATAATGCTCTCGCCCCGTTTTGCTACACGAGCCAAGGATTCGCGTGCGGGCTCGCCTATTGAAGGCTGGTCCTAGCGTGGCTCCAGGTTTTCTCGGTGCTTTCTCGTGTCGCACATCATTTGTCGCACGGGAGTTCTACTGTTTTGCAGCGAGCATGTCAAGCCATCAGCGATGTCAGTCAGTGTGTAGTATCCGTGTCTGCCTCCGACGTTGCAGGCCCTGTGGCACGACTTCCTGCGCTGGGCCGGAGTGGTGAACCGCTGACGTTGCCCCTAATGCCGCAGGAGGATGTGGTGTTGGGAGGGCGAGGATGCGGAGACGGGATAAGAAGGAAAATATGGTGAAGCAGAAGGACAAGGAGAAGGAAGCGGAGGAGGAGGAGGATGAGGAGGAGAAGTAGGACGAGGAGGAGGAGGCGGAGAGGAGGGAGGCGGAGGAAGTATGCGAAGAGAAGCAATATCAGGATGTCAGCTCTGGAGGCGCCATCTGGTCTCCCGCCAGCGCTCCGTAATGGATGCAGTCTGGCCAGACATGGTCTCTCTCGCGACCATTTCTGGCCAGCCTTGCAGAGTCCCAAGCTTCCTGTATAGTACGCGCTCACACCAGCGAGAACTGCTCATTCGAGATGGCGCTCCTAGGCAACAGCCCTTGCGCACGCGGGATGCCCGACGCTCCGACACATCCCAAATGCATCACGTCGGCCCACGCCACGTTTGCATGCTCTCCTCCTCCTCCTCCTCCTCCTCCTCCTCCTCCTCCTCCTCCTCCTAGCCCCCTCTGCTCAGGAGTTGCAGCTCCAGGGGCGGGCTCCGCGTTTGCCGTAGACACCACTCGCTACGGCAGGCCTCTCCTTTTCACCCATGCAAGCATGATGATGTTAGCCTTGCTTCTTGTGTGGTCTCGCTGTGTGAGAGTGGCGACGGACATGTTCACGTCTGTGCATCGGAACGCACAGTATGCAGATATCGAGCGCCTGCACGATCTTTCATAATAATTCAAGTCCACTGATGTGGTGGCAGTCACAAGCACTGCTGAGCGAGCGACACCCGACCGCTCGGTTGTATCATCCAACTTGAAGTATCACTTCGTGGTGCCATGTGGCTACCTGGCAGGGCGTCACGTCCACAAATCCTGTGGGATCGCACTGCTTTTAAGGAAGCGGTTGTTCAAGCAACGCGGCGTGTATGATGTACCAAGTGCGCCCGTTTCTCTGCAAGGGCGCGCTGCAGTGTTTCGTCTTCGTTCTGGGCGCTTCGATGTGTTGATCCCTGTGCTGTACGTCCCCCCCTCGTCCGAGTGCAAGGCGCGAAGGTCGAGAGTCCATCACGACGACGTGCTACAACATTGGGGACATTTTCTTCGGCGCGCAGGCGTCGAGTTGCATTGATTATGTGGCGGCCTTCAGCTGGCACGTGCCGTCGATCACCTTCTGCGGGGCGATGCGGGGGAGCAACTTCCGTCTCAAGTTCGGAAGTCGCCGCGGCCTCTTTGATCACGTGCCCCTCCTTGTCAAATTCAGGTACGAGTTCGACCTCAGCTCGTCTCGGACCGTGGCTACGAGGTGGGACTTCGATCGCCTGGCGAGTGCGTCGTGCAAATGAGTGGGCGTGGCGGAGTTCTTGACCGATGTCGAGACACAGTTCGGTGCGGCCCCTGGTTTTCATGATCTACTCTTCACGACAGATCTCCAGACGAAGGTTGGACGCAGTGGGCGACCACCAGGTATGCTGCTGCGGATTGTCATGTCCCGAAGAAGAGCGCACATAACTCGATTGTGGTTGCATCTCAGAAGGCTCGCAGTCAACTCCTACATGATCGACGACGGGCTCGAGAATGCGGCCTGGTGATCTAAAGTCGAGTTTGTGGTTGCCAAGATGCAGCCGGACGTTGCGACATCTACGGCGCGCACATCAGGACACGTTGACTGAACACTGGTCGAGGAACTTGACACTGCGTGGAGTGCTCGGCCGCATGCTGAAGTGTGGCGTCTCGCGCATGAGCTTGCTGGCCGCTGTTCAGGACCTCGCCGCCGACGCTTCAATGTTGCCGAAGCTCATGCGCCCAGGATGGGTGAGATACGTGAGCATTTCAGTGGCCCTGGACATGCTGGTGGTTTCGCGGCCGTGCCAGTTGTCTTTGGTGAGTGCCAGTCTCGTCTACTTGGGTATTTACCTCGGCCAGCTCCCCAGTGACAACTACCTGCACGTGGCACGTGGTCGAGATGATCTCGCTGCTGTGACTGAGCTTGCTGCGAAGGCCCCTCGTCGCAAAGCGGCTCCGCTGCATTCGATGCCTTCTGAAGTCATCATGCTGGTGCTGGATCCGATGAGGAGGTTCGACGGCATGCATCGAAAACCACGCAGGCGACGGAACGAGGACGGCGACGAAGTTGAGGATCCCGAGCGGCGTCCACGGGCCGAGTTTGTTCCGAGGCATCGTTTGGTTGGCGATAGGCGCGGCATTGGCACCGAGGCGCCTCCGAACTCCAACGAGCTGGGTTTGAAAACGCTGCAGATAGTTGTTTCATCATAGTAAACGTGTCGAGAGGACACCTGTTGTGTGGCATCATTCACGTGCGACTGGGCTGGGTAGGCACAAAAATAAAGATGGCTTTGCTGCCCGTCGATACATTCATGGACTGCGTCGTGTGGGGGCGCTGTGGTACAGGGCTCAGCTGACGCGCGGCGTTCCTAATGCGGTGCCTGGTCGGGATCATGGCTATCACAGTGGACGGAGTCGCGAGGGTGATCTGATATGTCAGGAAGTGCTGCTACATCGGCTTCGCTTGCTCGGAGTGTCGACGGTCACATCCAAGGAGGACATGGCGAACGCCTTCGGCTGCTCGACGTTTCCCGCCTTACGTGCGACGGTGGAAGCCCCAATCCAGCCCGAGTCGCCGCGCTCCTTTCATCAGCGGCACGAGACGAGCACGTTCACCATATGCGGGGCTGACGGCGGGCAGACGATGCATCACTTGTGCGGGGCGTTCATGGGCGATGCGCCTGCAGCGATGTTCTTTGCCAGCACCATTCGTCAGCCAGTACAGCGATGGCTGGATTTTCTTCGGTCTCAGGCTCTGCATGGGCAGGCTCCCGCCCGTCTTCAAAAAATATGATGGAGACTATGTTTGACAAGTTTTATTTGTTGTTGGTATTTTGTTGTTTTATTTTTCGTTCAAAATCGGCCTGTACGGGGACAGGCCCGACATACGCCCCAGGGCAGCGGGTCAGGAGGGAAAAACACACACACAGGCACAATTAATCGTCGATCTCCAGGAAAATAAGGGAAACATGTGGGGGGCGGGGGGGAAGACGAAAGCCTAGAAAACGCGGGAAAGGATGGGGAATCCTGTTATTTGTGTGTATCTATTTGTGTGTCCCAGGGCCCCGTCAGTGGGTCCGGACCCTCGCGGGGCCCACGCAGCGAACAACACGGGAGCAGCCGGCTGTCCGGGCTGTTTGGCTCCCAGAGCCCCGCGGCGGCGTTGGATCGGGCAGCGGCGCTGGGGCGCACAGGCGCCCCGGCTGCCGCTGCCGCGCCTCCTGCCCCTCGACGCAGCCCTTGCGACCTCTCCTGGAGGGTGCGCCTGGGCGAGGGCTCCAAAGAGAGAGGGCTCCCGGGGGCTCAGCCATTGGGCGAATTGGACGCCCCCCATGGAGCCATGAGCGGACGACGGAGACGCCGCCGGGGCCCCGACCACCCGCTGCAACGGCGGGTGCTGAAACGCCGCCGCCGACGGTGAGGTCGGGCCTGTCCCCCTACAGGGGGATTTGGACGAAACATAATATTCAACAAATGCCCCAAAGATGCCACAACAAAAACCCCCAAATCGTCCCCCGGATTATTTTTCTGACGATTTGGGAAGATTCCCCTTGTAGAGGGGACAGGCCCGACGTAAGCCGACGGGCAGGCGGCCGGGGCGTTCCTGCGCCCCTCGGGCGCGAGCCCCGCGCCGGCAGGTCGCCCCCGCGGCGCGAGGCCGGCGCAGAGCACGCGGCACGGCCTCGGGAGCCTTGAGACGGGGGTCTATCAGGAGGGAAAGAAACACACAGACACAATTAATCGACGATCCCCAGGAAATATAAGAAAATATGGGAAGTGGGGGGGAAGACAAAAACCCAGAAAATATTGGAAAATATGGGGAATCTTTTTATTTGTGTGTATTTATTTGTGTGTCCTGGGGCCCCTTGAGTCTATGCAAACGGGGGTCAGCCAGAGCGCCCGATCTTGCAGGAGCCTGCAGGGCCAGGGTCGCACTGACCCGGTTTGGGTGCAGGAATCTGCAGGGTCCTGCAGGATCCTTCGCGTCGACCCGGGTTTGGTGCAGGATCCTGCAGGGTCCTGCAGGGTCCTGCAAGGCCCGACTGACCCGGGTCTGGATGGACCCGGGTCAGCAGATCCCCGACGGCCGCCGCACGCAGAGCGGCGCGGCTGTGGCGTCGAGCGCGGACCGCCGCGGCGTCCTGGCCGAACCAGGGTCTTGTTCGGCCGCCCCTCGGCGCCAAAACGGCGAAGGGGACATCGCAAAAAACTAGGCAACATATCTGCAGGCGTCTGGTTATCTGTTATGTCTTTCTGTTTGTTTGTAGGACTATTTTCGAAGAATTTGCCAACGCGCTCTTTCGACATCACAAACAGTATTGCTTGAGCATTTTGCATTTGTCTCTCCAAAGCTGTTTGTAGGAGGACATGCCCAACATAAAACAAGGCTTGCATCATGCCCTCCACCCTTCGCGCGGCCGCCCTCGCCTTCGCCTCTCTCTCTCTCTCTCTCTTGTCGGGGGCACGTAAGATCGGCACGAAGGAGATGGGTACGGAAAGAGTGGGTACAATACCCAACAGTAGTTCCTGTTCATTTTGAACAGGACTCGCTGTCCGCGCCGCCGCGGCCTGTGTCCATTTGAGACAGAAGGCCGCCTGCCCAACAGCGGCCCCTGTTGGTTTGGGGCATCATTTGTTGTTGGGCATCGTACCCATTTTTCCCGTACCCATCTCGGGCGTCCAATTAAGACTCGAGTGCGCCAGAACTCGGGTTCGCCTAAGTTTTTCGACGAGCCCGTCCTGGATTTTGATGGTCCAGTTTTCGCGGGATGTTTGCAACGGAAGTTCGCGTCAAATTTCAGATTGGGTCTCGTCGTTGTCATGGTGGCCGCGTCAGGCCAACCCGAGTCCCCCGTACCCGAGTTTTACGTCTCCTTGATCTTGCACGCCGGACAATTTGCCGATCGGTTGCCACGATAAGCCCCACCTTGGTGCGGATTGCCTCCGCCTCGCCGTCGACGAACATGTTTGTATACGCACATCTGCATACATGCCTGCAGATCTACACATGTATACAAAATATTGAATCCATGTATTTGTGTACATGTGTATGTTCACATGTTGGCATGGCCAAAGTGGAAGCCAAGGGGACCAGCGCGAACCCACGGCGCATCCACGATGTTGCAGTACACCTTCCCCCCAAGTGCTTCATCGCCCCCTGACTTGTTTCATTGTGGCAAGTGCCCCGCCAGAAGGCAGCCGTCTGAGACTTCTCAATCCTGTTAAAACGCAATTTCTGGCTGGGACTTCAACGTTGCGAATCAATGTGACTTTTGCGTCTTGAAGATGAGATCGCGCCAGAACACCATTCCTAGCCGTACGAACCTTTGAAGCTGTTGCAACCTTTCAAAGCGAATGCGACGCCACGGCGGGAACCACATTTTGAAGACGACCTCCCTTCATCCGCGAAGCCCTTGCACACTTTCAAGATGAATGTGCGCAGCTGTAAGCCGACAGCCACAATTTGAAAGCCACGTGCCCTCAATCCATGAAATTTGTAGGACGATTGCGGCGGCGCTGAAACGAGAGCCACATTCTAAAAACGATCTGCCCTCCATCCGTGAAACGGTTTCGCAGTTTACGCCTGGTGATCGTCCATGGCGCGGAAGTCTTAAGCGAAACGTCCAGCCCGCCCTGCGGACACGTCTCGGGCTGCGACGGGGAGGAGTTATGCAGAAGGAGAGGGGACAGGGGAGGAAGGGTGGGATGGGGGGGGAGGAGGAGGAGGAGAGGGAGGAGGAGGAGAGGGTGAGGAGGGTGAGGAGGAGGAGGAGGAGGAGGAGGAGGAGGGGTGGATGGTCGATCCGAACTCCGAGGCCGACGGCGAGAGCGACAGGAGAAGGAGGAGGAGGAGGAGGCGGTGGAGGTGCCCGTAGCCGTTTTGGATCAAGCCTCGGCCTGCCAAAGCGTGCTGCGCAATTCACGCAGCCCTTCTGCCTCCACGCCCGTCCCGCCTCTCACGTGGCCGTGAGCTCTCGATGTGCGTTCCGTGTCAGCGTTCTCTCGGCTCCGCCGTTGCCTGGCTTTCGGGTTTGCTCCGGTGGCGGCGCAGCTTTCCATGCTTTTCATCCGCTTGCAGCTAATTGGCGCGGAG